CCCCCCCCCAACCAATTTTAAACTTTTTCTTTAAATCCAGATACTTCATAGACACAGGTGATTAGATGAAGATTAAAGGTATGTGGTAGGAGGAAGAGTTGAACTTGAGAAGAGGCTGAGAGCAAGAATGCTTGTGAAAAGGTCCTAACCAGTTAATTTGACAGGAAAAAATAAGTTCTTGTTTTGAAAAAAAGAAAAACAAAAAACCCAACAACCTTCTCTCAAAAAAAACCTCCGTGATGTTTGGCATAAAATGGTTCCTGATTTGATAAAAGGACTAGCCTTTACATTGCGTTGGTTTTGAATTATTGTTTGGGGGGTGCTGAGGCACTGTTTATACACTTACGTCAGAGTCAGAAATAGCTGGAAGAAGGAGGGCATGGGTCATGATGTGATTTGATGCTACTGTTTGCCTTTCAGTCTCAAAATTGGATTGATAGTCTTGTGTGTACCGCAGCTTGGAGGCGCTGTGGTGACAAAGTTACAAAGTCCAGTTGGAGGCCAGTCAGTAGTGGTGTACCCCAGGGATCAGTTCTGGGGCCAGCACTATTAACATCTTCATTAATGACCTGGACAATGGGACAGAGTGCACCCTCAGCAAGTTCATAGGTGATACAAAACTGGGAGGAGTAGCTGCTGCACCCGATGGGTGTGCTGCCTTCCAGAGGGACCTGGACAGGCTGGAGAACTGGGCAGAGGGTTTGTGAAGTTCAACAAGCAGAATTGCAAAGCCCTGCATGTGGGGAGGAACAACTCCATGCAGCAGGATATGCTGGGGGCTGACCAGCTGGAAAGCAGCTCTGCAGAGAAGGAGGTCCTGATGGACAACAAGCTGACCATGAACCAGTGATGCATCCTCATGGCAAAGGCCAACAGCACCCTGGCCTGTGTTAGGAACAGTGTTGCCAGCTGGTCGAGGGAGGTCATCCTTCCTTTCTACTCAGGCCACCTCTGGAGTGCTGTGGGCAGTGCTGGGCTTCCCCGCACAAGGAAGATGTGGACTTACTGAAGCAAGTACAGCGAAGAGCCACAAAGATGATTAAGGGTGTGAAGCATCTTTCATACAAGGAGAGGCTGAGAGAGCTGGGACTTTTCAGCCTGAAGAAGAGAAGGCTCAGAGGGATCTCATCAATGTGTATAAACATCTGAAGGGAGGGAGGGAAAAAAGAGGGGGGAGCCACACTCTTCTCAGTAGTGGCCACTGACAGGACAAGAGGCAATGGGCCCAAACTGAAAATGAGAAAATTCCATCTGAACATCAGGAAACATTTTTTTACTCTGAGGGTGGTCAGATACTGTCACAGGTTGCCCAGAGAGGTTGTGGAGTCTCTGTCCTTGGAGATGTTTGAAAATCCGACTGGATACGATCCTGGGAAACCTGCTGTGGGTGACCCTGCTTGAGCAGGGGTTTGGACCAGATGATCTCCAGAGATCTCTGCCAGAACGATTCTGTAAAGAAAGCAGCAGCTACACTTTGATGCCAGCGCACTAGCTTTTAGAAGAGCTGAGGGCTGAATGGTATGAATAACACACCTGCATGGTTCTTTAGTGTTCTGTATTGACTTGGGGCTTGGACTGCCATGGACATAACCTGTGCCTCTGAGTGCAGTTGTGACGTGCAGGGCAAGCAACAGTGTATATTCGAGGCAGTTGTTCTGATTTTAACTTTTACTTCTCTGTACTTTCCCATTAGACAGTTGAAGATAGCAGGTCTTTGTCTGAAAGTCGTAACATTTTGCGTCTCTCTCTGTCATCATCAGTGTACGTGCTTTACAGAAGTGGTTGGTGGTGGAGCTTGAACCAGGAGGTGCATATTTGAATGTCTCTTGATACTTTTAGCACAACCATGAATGGCAAACACCACATCAGACCTGTTCCAGACAGCATCTTAACACTGAGGCCACCCATTAAGGAACGCACTGTGCCAGAATCCACAACTTCAGAAGTCAGCAAAATGGGGAGGCTTTTTTGTACTGCTGAAGAGGTAGGCTGGGTGAGAAAGGTGTCTTTTGAAATGAAACAACTTAGCAGTTATAACAAAGCTGTATGTAAATGCTGAAGAGGCAGTTTGTAACAGCACGGTGGGTGTAGTTAATGAAGTTGAAGGAATGCTTCTGGAAAATCAGCGTATAGCGTTTTATTTGCCTTTACATGCATCAAGTCTTGGAACAGAGCAGTGCTTTGTTGCCAAAAAACTGAATTTTAAATCATTTTCATGGAAATGGTGTACTGGGGGAGGACCCTCCAACCAGTTTCACTTGTAAAGTGGAGCTGTACTGCTTGTCACTAAGTGTATATTTGTTGCAGAGTTGTTTCACTATTTTGTTCTTAACCTAGCTCAACTGTGATCTTTACATAGCAATTTTAATAGGATAATGTAGGCAAAAAAACCCCACTCAGTTGCTGATAATCCTTCCTTACAGGACTTTGAGAGGTCTTTCCCTGCCCTTTCCTTCCAATATCTGAAGCAACTATTGGAAAATTCCTGATAAACCTAGCTTACATGGGAGAAGAATTTACACCAAAGTACTGGAGAAGCAGGCCATGGCGAGCTGTGGAGTATGATTAAGATACCCGGGGGACTCATAGCACCCCATCATTATGTATATTGACAGGAGTGCATATTAGCCTGAATTATTATGCAAGAGGTGCAGACCACAGCTGAAGAGAAGAAGTCCCCATTTGAGGAAACAGTTGCAAAAGTAATTTTGAGGTTTATAGTGGGACACAAGTTCTTAGAGCAGGGCTAACACAAAATTAAGGTGTGGGAATTCTTGCTAAAGTAAACTTGAGTAACGTACCAGTATTTTGGGAACAGCCTATGCAATCTGCACTATATCCAGATTACAAACATTTGCTTCACATGCAGTGGTTCTAATCTGTTTGATTTTTTCCCTCCATTCTGATAGGATGTTCAGCGAGGAGAAAAGGAGAAATACAAACAGCTCTTGGAATTAGTAAAGGAAAAATATCCTAGAAGCCGCCCTAATCCACAGCCGACAAGCTTCCACAAGTAATTATAGGAAAAATAACCATTAACTTTTTGGTTGTAACGTTGTAGCTGTTGTACATGGAAGTGGAGGGGAATTAAGCTTTCCTACTCTCAGGGTTCTGCACAGTGTCCCAGGGCAGGTGTTGGGGCAAACTAATTATTAAAATACTGACACCCCCCTTCAGGTCCCTGCAATGAAGCATGAATAGTCTCAGAATATGTATTCTAAAGGTGAAGATTCCTTTGTTGATATGGATGTGTTTCTAATACTCCTTTCTTGTCTCTCTGTGTTAAGAAAGGTAGTATCTAGTTCTAGTGCTGGCAGTGTAACTTCTAATATAAAAATCCACAGCACTGGTTATTCTGTAGCACCATTAAAAAGAATTTATCTTCCTCTTGTTTGCAATTGATGGGGTTTTCGTTGGTCAGGAATCCTGGTTTATCTGAGAATGTGAAACTTAAGGTAAACACAGGGAATGCCAGAATTTTCTCTGTTCCCTTTCACCTCCCCCAGTCCTTCTTGCACAAGTTATAGGAAGTTTTCTCTTTACAGTACACTAAGTTGACAAAATCCCACTTGTGTGTAGAATTCCAGTTCCTAAAGCACCCTGCAAAGGGGAATTTGTGAGTAATTCTGATTCATGTGCTACCAGTGATGAATATATTTGATATAACTGTGTCAAAGAGATTGCATGAAGTTAACTACACAAGTAAAAAACACAAAAATAATAGAAGCCATTATCTTAGTGGAATAATTACACTTCAAAGCTGTGCAGAAAGGACCTAATTCTTGTAAAATACTGATGCCAAGATGGTGCTGAAATTCCAGCATGCCTTTCTACACAGTAAGGTAGTAGAAAATGCCACTCTCTATTGCAGTTTCCCTTAAATGCAGTGAAACATGGGTTGTTACCAAGGCTTAGAAAAATCCCAATCTCCACTTGGTGGTTCACAGCTAGAAAACATGTAAACACATGACTTTGGAACAGCGTGTCATGTTTAAACATTCTGGTGCACAAAAACGATATGGAAAACAGTATCTCATGTAATTTTAGGTGCACTGGCAATAGCATTTTAGGGTGGGTCAAGACTCTGCTTTCAGCATCTAATCTTCCAGTCATTGATTACTGTGGTTTGGCTCATATCTCAGAGTAGACCTGGAGCACGTGAAACAGATTCCTTTCAGATGAAGCTAAACCAGAGAGTGTTTCTGTGGAATGTGTCTAATGCACTCCAGCTGCTAATGAGCATGTAGTCCCTGAGGTCAGAGTAGAGCAGGTCTGAAGTAAAATGTCCCAAAAGTATGTATGTTGTGGACATTATATTCTCAGTGTCAGCATAACCTTTAATAAATAGCTTGAAAAGAATTGGTCAAGGATGGCTGTAATGAATGCTGTCTTGTCCCATTAAAAAAATGGTCTTCTGAGATTAATCCAGATATTTGTAGGATGTGCAAAGAATACTTTTTCTTTTTAAAGAAAAAATAAAAAAGCCACTGATAGTGCTGGTGAAAAGGCAAAGGAATCAAATTTCATGACTGATTAGTCTCTTGAAATTCTGGAGACAGAAAACTTGACTCCTGTATCTTCAGTGTGCCCAAGTTGAAAGTAGCCAAGCTTCTGAATGTAAACTGCCTCCTCATGGAAATGTCCTTTGCGTTCTGTCATGAAACAAGTGCAGGAGAGAGGATGTTTCTGTCAAGGGATTAAACAGCCTAATTTTAGTTTACATATTTCTATTGCTTTAACTATGGCTTCCAACTCTAACGTAGATAGTTGTGTACGAATAAACTGTATCTTTTCTAGTGAATCGGTATGCACTGATAACAAATGCCATACGTATAAAAATTGTGGTTCTTCTCTGTTATTTTTTGCTGCACCAAAGTGTTCAAGCCTACTCCAAGGAACCAGTGATGACTGTGAGTCACCTGGAAGAACAAAAATATGGAGGAGATGTCTATCCATGTATGACACTAAGGACCAGTGAGTATCCCCATGATTCATATCTGTTCCACTTTGTAGGTAAGACTTCAAATCAAAATAGGGCATTTCCTTAAGTCTCCAAGGTATAGATTATGCTAAAAAGATTTGTCAGTGCTAGTGTATCATTAATCTGTGTCTATTTATAAGGAAATCTAAATCAGCCAGCATGTTTGTACTAGTATAGCTTATGTCAGCCCTTAGAACGAAATGACCTGTCTCTGGAAAGAAAGGGGGAAAAAAAAAAAAAAAGAGGGGGGAACACCCACACTCCCAACCCATAGCTAGGTATTGGCTAAAATGGCTTTGTAAGGTTTTTGTTGAAGTGAAAAAGTTTGTTTAAAATTACTTGAGAGACATTACTGTACCGGTGATGTTTGTAGCTGCGGATGTAACTCTGCACTATACAGGAGAACTTGGTAGTATCTGGCCGTTTGTAGTAGTGGAGCGTGATACATTATTGTGCACCCTTAGATGCCTGTTACTTAACTCAGAGTTGCGGTTATGTGTTACTCTTTAATCCCTTTTTAATGCTATATATGACTATATTTCTATGATATCAGAGCTTCGAAACCAAGTAAGCTAACTGCACAGTACCACTGTTGATATCAAGTTAGCTTCTTTTGTCGATCATCTTTAGTGAGTTGAAGATATGTAAGTACTGAAGGTGACCTTAGTTGTCTTCTGCAGAGCGGGCTAGTTAAACTGGTTTGCTGACAAGCTATTTTCTTTTGTATCAGCAGTGCGTTACACCACCATGTGTTCATGTGTACACATTTAATATTGTCCCAGTCTTTTTTTCTTTCCCCTGTTCATTACTTAAATAATTTTTCATCAATGCTTCTTTTTACATATCTGTGACTTTATTATGCAATCATATGGGTTTTGAAGTTATTTCGGAGCAGGTGCTAGAATTTGGGGAAAGCTTGTTTTGTCATGGAAAATGACAAGCTATTCTTCTGAGCCTGGAGGAGCATCTGGTTTTGCAAAAATCACTCGTTTAGTCAAGTGTGCAATGTAGGATTTAAAACTTAATAAATGCCCTGCTTCAGCTCTCACACACTCACACATGATATTCAAAGTTCAAACTGTTTGCCAGAGTTCGAACTTCCTAACCATACAGTTGTCATTAAAAGTTGTTTTGTTTTGTTTTTTTTTTTATTTATTACCCAGAAACCGAGAGCTACGTACATCTGATGATAATTGAAAGTTGACTTCTTGTTTTCATATTATTGCTTTTCTGTGCAGGTATCAAATGTGCAGATGTTTGCAGCCCACAGTGGTCTCAGAGAAGTGATATGATCAGGTAGAGTCTCTTTCAGTCATGGTTCTTGTTTCTTTTGGGTCTGTGTGCATGTCTCTTTCAGCCTCCGGTAGTGTCCAGAAGAAGACAAATCATACTTACCGTCTCAGTGCTGTGGAAGAGGAGTAGCTAGCTTGTGGCTCTGGGATTGCTCACAAGCCAGTTGCATCTCAGACACAGCTCCCATGCTAGAGCCGTGCTTGCGTGACAAACAGGGTTGTGCTGGTGTGGTGTTTGCTGGGTCCTTTGCTGTGGGAAGAAAGCCAGTGAGGGTGAGAGTGGTGGCCGTACCAAGTTGTCCTTGGATTTGCAGAATCCATTTTTGCTTGTGAGTGTCTTTCTGTCAAACCTTTAATGAGCTGACATTTCATTTCTTTCACTTTGAAACTAGAATCCTAAGCATATGGATTAGAGAGCTTGTAAAGCCTGGTGGGACAGAGACAGTTTTTGTGACTTACAGGATGCCTTGGGTTTGAATACAAGACCAAAAAGGAAGCATGCAGTTGGATTGTCTGCCTGTTTGGGAGGCTGGTGGACTTGTTTGTATTGGCTCTCTGAGCTGGCAGGACTATGAGTTCAGGTGGCTTTGTGTTGTTGAGGGCAATGGGGTTTTGGTTGCAGTTAAGTGCAGCTATAGGGAGAGATTTTTGTATTGCAGTCTGATGCACGCATCTTTCTGCAGTGACCTGTCCTTAAATGAGAGAGGAGAAAGCGTAGATGGGAACAGAGAGAGATTCAGTTGTGGCAGTCCTGTTTTTTAGCTAATTCTGTCCCTATTCTTCTCCCCACTTTAAACACTAGTGCTATATTTAGCTGGGCAGCACTGTTTCTATGCTTACTTTGTCACTGGTTCCTCTAAGCTTGAGGGGAGAGAAGGAAATAAAATAACTGATGGAGTATGATGGGTTCAAATAAAAGGAACATTTTCTTGCCTTTTGTTGCAGAATTAGCTACTAACTGAAGTCATTTGACAAGGCTTGTGATACCTACTCTTACCATTGTGCCTTTAAAGCACAATGAGTGTAGGATACCATGAGAGTCTGTTGTAGGTCTGCCTCCTGAAAAAGGGGATTTTTGGTGACAATGTAAATTCTTGTTTTTGAAGAAGGGACATATATATGGACAACTTTCATGTCTGTGCATTTGTTTGCTCTTCAGAGTCTGCGTGGTTTTAATGATAATCCCCTCCAAATGGGGATAGTCACTCTCTTGACTAGGCTGTAGAAGGCAAGTAAACATCCTGTAGCTGTCCCATTTTTAATTCAATGTGTTGGTCTTAGTTTCCGTAAGCTAACTATATTTGGATGCAAGTATAGTTGCAGATGTTCATGTTATACCTTGCAGTATAACACCTAGCATGCAGTATTTATCACTGGTAGATCACAAAGCACTTGATAGAGGAAGTGCTGGTTGCTTCCCTGTTTTTCAAATAATGAAACTGATCAAGAGAAACAAAAGGAGTCTTGCACATGTAGATGGAAGAAAGTTTGCAAAGCTCCCCACTCTTCATTCTATCCCAGTCTTGCTGCTACGAAAGAATGGTGCTGGAAGCTGAGACAATGTTGTCACATGTTCATGTGTGCAACTGAGCCTCTAGTCAGAATCAGCCTTGAAAAAGCATTTCTTATCCAGAAGGTGAATTCTTGAGAATTACATGGGACGGTACGGATACACAGCTCACCCCTCTCCCTCTTCCTCTCTCTCCCTCTCCTCGCAGGTACTACACACCAGCAGAAAACTCTCATGGACAGGGAAGACCAGTGAAACAAGCCATTGCAGGGGTAAGCTTGTGTTACTCATTATTTCACTTTTTAGGAAAATATAGCTATTTGTGATCAGAAGTTTTTCCCCTCTTCACTTAAATACATTACTTACTCAACAATATATGTGTCCCGGTTGTTTTTTCCCAGGGAAAGTGGGGCATTATTTGATGAGAAGCGCTATCACAAAGGGTTTCCCACAGCCATTAATTTTGTTTCTGGACTATTATGAGCACACTACACTATACTATTTTTATTCTTCCCCTTTAATGTGTTGGCTATAGCTTCAAAATCTTTAGTGCACAGACTTGGTTAACCTGCAAAGCTGGACTGCGGTATCTTTAGTCTTCTCTTGTTTTGTGAGATAGAAAGTACATCTCTCTTGACTTTCACCTCTGGTCAGGATTGAGATCAAAAATAAAATTTTAATCATGGAAATCAGAAATATTAATCTCAACTTGATACTTACATGTGGAGGCTTTGCTGGGGTTCTTAATGCTAGTCCAAGCCAAGCTAACTTTCTGCCTCTCTTGCCTCCATTTAGTTTTGCGTGCAGCATTACATGGGTGCACAGTTGGAATGCAGTCATCAATAAAAAGTAACTTTTGGGTTTGCAGGTTGGGGGTGTGTACAAAAACCCTTCCAGTTTTATACATGAGCAAGATTTTTTGCAGTATCTTGTAGCAAACAAATCTGTGCTTGCTTGCTAGCTTAATATCCTTTTGTCTAACAGAGACAGTATGGAGCTGAAATCTCAGAAGAGGTGTTATTCCAATTACATCTGGCACCTGTTCTGTCCAGAAAGTCATCTGCCCTTGATGTGGAAGAAAAGAAATTCCCAAGCTCAGAAAAAACAGTAGAACACTTTTCTCCGCTCACAGAGGTACCATAGCTGACAGTCTGTTAGACAAAACAGAAGGCTATGAAACAGCTGCAAGGAAGTCCATTTATTTTAGGTGGTTCTTAAGGCTTTTTGAAATCTTAAGAACTTGCATTTAACCTGTTACCAATTGTCTGCAGGTGTGACTTCACAATGCAAGGGTCAGCAATAAAGCTGGTTTTAAGGAATTAATATGCTGCACATAGTCCTTCAGTTGGGCTAACCTAAGGGTTTGTGGGGCTTCTGCTACCAGGACAAAAATTAGTTCAGGTTTAACAGCAGTATCCCAGAGCAGCGTTAACCTGATTCATACAGTTATATTGGCTCTGCCTCTTAACCTGTCCTACCATGGTGATAGAACCTTAAAAATAAGCTTTTGCTGATCCATGGTTGCATTGCTTGTGGGGGACCTGAGCATCTTGCATACGTCCTCAGGATCTCGCAGTCACGTATGTGCTCTGGGCATGGTTGCGCTGCGTGTAACAGTGGTCACAGGAGTTAACTTAGTTACACTATTCAACGGGGAGTGGGAGTTCAAGTTCCCCTACTTGTATGAATTTTGGCTGCTTTTATTCTTCAGAGTTGCAGTCATGCTGATCTAATTGAGCACCTCCGGTTTTGCCCATTGAGGATTGACTTGGAAAGGGCTAGCAAATCCAGAGTTTACAAAGTCTGCAGAGTGATGCTCAGTACAAGGAAAAACAGGTCTTTTTCTTAGTTTGCTAGCCCAGATTCAACCAAGAAGGAGACGCTATTGCAGATCAGAGTATTTTATATTAACAGACCTAGTGGTTTATTTGCATTCCTTAAGCAGACTTAGATGGAAACATCCATATTACAACCAGTTGCATGCATGACCTGGACTCCTGATTGCCTGACTCCAGTGTAGCTGCCACAGTTTCCTCCTTTGCTGTTACTTCAGTTCCCTTTGAAGTCCCCTGCCTTGAAATTCTTTCGGGCTCCTGACTTAGCTGCCTTGGTATGGAGAATGCCTACTGTGCTTGGCTTAAACCTCGGTATTGCGAGGGCTGCAGCATCACATTGAGAAAGGTGTTTGCTGTACTTGTATTTATTTTTCAGCTGCTTTAGTGTGTTTGCTAGTCCACGTGTTTTATATCAGCTTCCTTTGTGAAAACAAATTGAAGCAAACCTGAGCTCTAAAGTTCAAAGTTAGTATGCTGAAACAAACAAACAAAAAAGTGCTATTGCTAACTTAGCAAAAAACTGGCAAAGCCAGTTGCTCTGTCACCTGAGCTTAATTTACAGGCCTTGTTTCAGTTGAAAGCTGCCCACAGTTTAGCATGCTCAATACTCTTGTTTCACAAGTCCTTCCCCATTTAATTGTTCATTTCAGGCTATGGAGAGAGAGGTCATTGCAGCATTTGGGAAAGGTGAGCCAGATGAGATCATGAGCAGTGCCTTCAAACTAAAGGTCACTCGTGAGGACATCCACACGCTAAGGAACCTTTGCTGGCTGAATGATGAGGTAAAACTAGCTGCAGCACAGTGATATTCTAATTCAGCGTTTATTTAAAAATACCCCTTCACTGTATACAGAAGTCTTTTCAAAGTTATTTGATGACCTCCACTGCAGAGCCTAGAAATACCTGTACAGTTCTTATTTTAGGTACTTAAGGGTCTAATGTTTCTGGAAGTTCCTTTACTTCTTGTATTATGCAGCTTCCAGGAGTTAGTCTAGGTTATTGGAGTTGGTGGCAGGTGTTTTTATCAAACTGCAGAAGTAACCAAGTGAAAAATTCTCAGAACAGAAGCTGACAGCTGAGGCTGGAGTTCTCTCAGCTGCGTACTTAAGGGTGGCCAGCAAAGACATGTTGCTGTATTTTTCATTTGGTAAGCTAGTGTCTTATTTTACATCTCAAGTTTACTCTTTATGGTACAGGTCATTAATTTCTACATGAGTCTTCTGATGGAAAGAAATAAGAAGGAAGGATATCCAACAGTCCATGCTTTTAGTACTTTCTTTTATCCCAAACTAATTTCTGGGGGGTACAAAGCAGTAAGAAGATGGACCAGAGGTGTGGATCTCTTCAAGCAGGACCTCATCTTAGTGCCCATTCACTTGAGAGTGCACTGGGCACTAGTGGTGAGTCAAACTGGCTTTTTACTTAGAGTTGGATGGGGAGAAAAAAAACAGCAAGAAAAGTCATTTGGGTTTTGTGGTGTGTGCAGCACAAGGTTGTGCTTTGTCTAACAGTCACCTTTTAATAACAGGTCATAGATGTCAGAAAGATGACCATCAAATACTTTGACTCAATGGGACAAAAAGGGGACAAGATTTGTGAAACTTTGTTGTAAGTAACTGCTCAGTCAATGCTTTTATGTTGTGAATTATGAGAAGGTTTTTGTATTTTCTCCCTGTAACACGACTGCAAGTTTTCACATTTCTTTTAGATGCAAAACAGAAATCTTTGATTTGCATGCTGTGAGTTGTATGACATTGGCTACTTATCTAGTCTCACATTGTCCCCTCCACCCAGGGTCTTGGATGCCTGGATTCTGCCACCTTCCCGCTATATGCACAGACAAAGCATCACTGTCAAATACGTGATAGCCCCGTGGCACACATGTACTGACTTTGTTAGTAATCAGTCAAACTGCACTCTTGACAAGAGGGAAGAATTTTGGGGAAGTGTTTCAAAATACCAGCCTGACTGTAAAAGGATTACAGTCTTCCAAGAGATTTTTAACTCCCCCTTCTTTAAGAACTTTCAGATTGCAACTCAGTAATGTTGGTGTCCTAGGATATATACACTCCTATTTGTGATCAGCTGCACATACACTTTTACTCTTTATTGCTTAGCTCTTTTATTGAAACCTTCCCCCCACACACACTTGTAATGTTCATCCTTTTTGCTGTAGTGAGCTAAGTACCATGCTCCTTCTCAGTTTGTCTATACCTCTTCTGTTCTTCTCAGTGTTTTAAACAAAGCTACCATATTTCCCTCCAGCTTACCCCAGCAGGCTACCCTCATGTCCTTACTGTGTAATATTTATGTTATTTGTGTCTTCTATCAAGCTTTTCCAGATGTATCAGCTGGCATGGCATACATCTCAAACATAATGGGTACAGTTTTTCATGTTGTGCAAGCCAGCATCCTTAGATGTCTTTGCCACTGATGCAGAAGTGGTAAAAACCCTTAACCTGACAGTTTTGTAGATCAAGAGCAGGAGAGCAACCCCACAGAGACAAAGCAAGTGTTGTTTTAGTCCAGTGCTCTCCTGAACAGTTAACAGTCGATGCCTGGGAAAGGGTATAAGAACAGGTCTGCATCGAATAATTTTTTCCTCAAGAGTATGCTTCCAGCAGCTGGTGGCCTGGGAACTTCCTCAGCCAGAGGTATTAGTCCAAAAGCTTTTGTATTTGTTCTTCTGGAGGTGCACCCAGTATCTGGGATTAAGGCACACGGTGGAATTATGGCATTATGGTTCCTTGCTTGGTTTTTCTGTTCCTCCTCTGATAACATGTGATTTGGGATTTTTTGACTTCTGCTAAGCAATGAGCTTATGCTTTTGTGGAAGTCTCTGTTGGAATCGTTGGTCTCATTCCTGACCAGTTGGTCTCCTTCCTGACCATTAGCTTGCAGCCTCTCACTGTGTTTGTAAATTTAAGATTTGGATTTCTCCTCCAAACGCCTTAAATCAGCTGCTGTGAGGATCCTCTGACATTTTACTGTCCTGCCATTCATCTTTCTGTGGTCTTTCAGCAGCTCTTCTTTTGTTGTCCTAAATTCATAGAGATGAAGAGTGATTTTTGTTTTGTTTTGAACAGCCGATATCTGCAAGAAGAAAGCCGGGAAAAAAGAAATCTGGAGTTGACTTATTCGGAGTGGACTCTTCACAGCATGGAGTCACATGTATGTGAGCATTACTTGGATTTGAAATGGGAACTATAACTCCTCGTCACGAAGGTCTTAACACTTTCTAATAAGTGCAAGCCTTTAGAGAACGGCCGTAAGCATCTCGTGTTCTTACAGTACCACATCAGGCTGCAAGTGGACCAGGAAACCATGCTGGGATGAAAGCTTTGAGCAGTGCCTCTCCTTGCTGGCTGAATACTTTCTTTTTTTTAATTACTCTGCCACAATAAGGTGAATCTGGCTTTGCCCCTCTTTCACAAGTCAAATTTTAAAATCTGTTTAGCTGTTGTCAGAGAATGTAGGCTTCTTATTTGGAGCACAATTCCTGGCATGTGATAAAGCAACGGGTTGAGCTGACGTTCCTCAACAAGTTAATAGTAAAAGCAGTATCTAAAGACTCGATTTAAGAAACGACACTGTACAAACCTCAAGACACCTTGCAGGGAGGAAGGCTGTTATCCCTTATAAGCCTGCCAAGAATTTGGATTGTAATATCCAAGTAAAGGAAACAGAGGGGAGGAATGATGTGCAGTTAATTGGGTCTATTCCTTGTGTTTGGGAGTGGTAAATAGATTATGCAAGTGGGTTCACAAGCGTCTGGTTAGTGTATTGTTGGTATGGGTAATGTGTGCTACTTCGAAGTTGCTTTTCTTTTAAGATAGAGGAAAATTCTCCATCTTCTTTGCATTCATTAGGAAATCCCTCAGCAATTGAATGGAAGTGACTGCGGGGTTTTTATGTGCAAATACGCAGACTATATCTCCAGAGACAAACCAATAACCTTTACACAGGTGAGCAAAGGTTATAAACGGCTCCAGACTTTTTCACACAGATAGAAGAGCCAGGGAAGTTACACAGCAGCTGTTAATTGTGTCTGGGGCAGGGGCTGATGTTTTGTACCTCTTTCCATTTTTGGTGTGTGGTTGCTGGGGTTGGAACTTCAAAGTGGCCTCAGCAGGGCAGAGCTGTAGTCTCCATCCTTACGTCTGGTATCTGCTTCCTAGTTGAATCAGTGAGATTCCTCTTGGGCAAGGTACTGCAGCCAGTGGGTTTGTGATATCTGGCCTTTGTATCTTTTGGAGAAATGGGTTTCACCCTTTGACCAGTTAAGACGCTGGTTATTTTCCAACACAGTGGTCTTTTATTAAAGTGCTTGTAAGCTGTTGTGTAGTCAAGTAAATCTGGTTTTGTTGGGTTGTCATGTCACCCTCTTAGGAGCTGTGTGGGTGAAACCCATGTTGTACCCAAATGGCAAGTGTTGCCAGTTCTTAAAAGGAACTTCATATTAAAGAATTAACTGGGTGTTTATGCATATTTTCTGCCTCTTTCTGCTGTGACTTTGTATTTAATGGATTTTTCTTTTCTTTTCAGAATCACATGCCTTACTTCCGCAAGAAGATGGTGTGGGAAATAATCCATCAGCAGCTGCTGTGATATGCACTATTAGAGTAACACTGTGATCACCTTCGGGTGACTAGGTCTTATTTTGGTTACTTTTCTAATACCTTATTTGAAAACGCAGCAGGCACACAAATTTTCCTCCTTAGGCTATGAAGTAGCGGTTAAGTTTTTTGTTTGTTCCCCCCCCACCCTGATTTTGGAGACAGTAACTCTCTTTGAAATTCGCTAATGCACTGTAAGCGCAAGCCAGAAAGATTGCTGTGATATCACCAAGGGAATGGTGAAGAACAAATACTGTGAACCTCCATCATTGAGATAGATGCTCATACCTCGCAGCACACACGGCCATGTTATGGACAAACGGGACTTTCATCTGTGGTGGTGGTAACAGTTGTGTTAGCTGAACTTATCTTCCCAAGGACAATGTGCTTAGCTACTGTTTCCTCAAGGAGAGCTTTCTTCTGTTTCTGGAATATCTATGATCTACTTGATTCCTAAAACTGGATTTGTGATGACCATAGAAAGAAAGCATTTACCATCTTTTGATTTGTAACAAATCCATAGTGAAGCCCCTGTAGTTGGGGTTGGTTTGTCTTTTGTTTTGTTTTTTGTTTTTTTTTCTGTCTCCAAGGAGTTATCTAATGTGAAAACAGAAGTATTTATTTCTTTTTATTAAAATAAATATGTAACTTATATAAAGAGCCTTACTGGAATGAAACTTTACCTGGTAATGAAATAGAGTAATTTTTTTTTTTTTTTAATTGAAAAAAAGTTTGATATATCAATGTGGTTTTTGCCTCACTCACAATCTGCGAGGAAGAAGACTCTAGCCAGGTTGAGTATCAGAGCACAAAAGCCTCTAAGCGGTTGTCACAGAATCCTGAAGGGGCAATCAGGATGTCGTTCAGCAGCGAGATGAGCAAGCGCAATCCCGGTAATACCAAAGTAGAAGATTTCTCTTTGGGGTAACTCATTAGACTTCTCAGTAAGACAAACAAAGCCTGTGTGCGCAGCTTGGTGAACATGGGCTGTCCTGTACTGGAATCTGTTGAAGGCTAATATGGGCGTCTCCATGCAGTATTAGAGTGTACTGCTGTGGAAGTGGAATAAAATGCTAGCACCGATGTGCCAGGCTAGGGACACGTGTCCTGCCAGGTTCGGTGGTGTTGCTGAAGATGTTACTGCCTTATTGCCCCTCTGCTGCAGGTACTGCCTCCACGCATCTGCCAAATGAAGAGCTTGTGTGAATTCTCACTCTATTACGGTCAGACTGAGCTAGATTAGTTTAAACATGGTGTTTCCCCCTTTCTTTCATTTTTTTTCCTTTAGTTTACACTCCAGAACTGGAGTGGGATTTCGGGTCTTTCATTTACCATTGCAGAGGAAAGATTGCTGGTTTGGAAGCCACATGTTTGAATGCTTGTATAAATAACCATGTCAGATTGTTTCTGTAATGGCATAGTTCCCAGTCAGGTGATACCTCATCACCAGTCAGGAATCTCCTCTCCTCAGCTCTGGCGGAAAGATGGTGATTTTTGGGGACATCCCCTCTGTGGGTGCTGTCAGCCTTCATGGTGCTGCTCCTTGCCTGAAGATCTGCTCTCCTGGCAAAGCCGATAAGGTGGTTTATCTGTGTTGCAGGTCAGCAGCTGCATCAGTCTTTGCTTTCAAACTGATTAGCTTAATCCGTCACAAAATCAGAGGAGATTCTCCAAAGAGAGAACTATTGCAAAGGCAACGTGTTGTGTTTTGTCCTTACATGAGATACTTAATCTTCCCTGGATTCCTGAGGACTTGGGAAGATTTTAGCTGTTTATTAATGCTAGGACCAGTAGCTGAATGTTTTAAGTATCCTTTCCCCTTTGCTTCGTTTCTCACTGTTTGGGGGATGCAATTTTGAGGCTGACCCTGCAGTCTGCTGATTATGAAAGTGGAATATTTTCTTTTTGGGGAAAAAAAACAACAACAAGACAACCCCTGCAGAGGGGCTAGTGGTGTAAGGATGCTTTCCAGGCGCTCCTTGTGCATGCCCCTTAAGCAGAGGGGGCTTGGACATTAGATGAAAGGAGCAGGGTGATGCTGCTGTGAACAGCTTACCTGGACACGCAGCCAGCCCATGCCTTCCCTGTCTCTACACAAACTGCAAAGCACTTCGGTGGTGTAAATCCTGTTAGGGGATACCTCCACTGGTCACTTAGAAGTACCTGTGTGGTTGTGCCTGCTGAAAGCCTCCATGTATGAGACGGTGGGGAAATTGTACACGTACCAGTCAACATCCCCTCCATCTGCAAGGTCATCTCGTGGGCTCTGGCCCTTCAGCTGTGGCTGGGTTCCTTATGCCCCTACAATGTGCTCTGAGAATATCCTATGGAGAGAAATAGGCTATTAACTTCTGTGCTTTGGATGAACAGTTGTGTGCAGGCCCTGGGCCTCACTTCTCTAGGGAAATGATCGTCCCCCTGTACTCGGCACTGGTGAGGCCGCACCTCGAGTACTGTGTTCAGTTTTGGGGCCCTCACCACAAGAAGGACATGGAGGTGCTGGAGCGTGTCCAGAGAAGGGCAACGAGGCTGGTGAAGGGTCTAGAGCACAAGTCTCATGAGGAGCAGCTGAGGGAGCTGGTGTTGTGTAGCCTGGAGAAAAGGAGGCTCAAGGGAGACCTCATTGTTCTCTACAACTACCTGAAAGGAGGTTGTGGTGAGGTAGGGGTCAGTCTCTTCTCCCAAGTAACAAGCGATAGAACAAGAGGAAATGGCCTCAAGCTGCGCCAGGGGAGGTTTAGATTGGATATTAGGAAAAATTTCCTCACTGAAAGGATAGTCAGGAACTGAAACAGGCTGCCCAGGGAAGTGGTTGAGTCCCCATCCCTGGAGGTATTTAAAAGACGGGTAGATGTGGTGCTTAGGGATGCGGTTTAGCGGTAGACTTGGCAGTGACAGGTTAACGGTTTGGACTCAATGATCTTAAAGGTCTTTTCCAACCTAAACGATTCTATGATTCTCATTAGTAAATGGCCTTTTGGAGATGATGAGCTTGTGCTTTCCCACACTGACAGGAGAACATGCATACAGAGTGAGTAATGCTGCATCTGCCGGCTGCTGCCCTGGGCGGGGGGACGCTCGTCATGCGGCTTTACAGACTTCTGATGCTGTCTGCCCTGTGATGTGGTCCTTACTCACAGGAAGGACGTGGGGGGGCCTCAGACAGCAAGTCTGGGTCAGACCCATCTTTGCAGTGCTGGTGAGCACGGGTCTGCCCCAGGGCTGTGCTGGTCCTGCCACGAGCCAAGTCACGCCTTGCTGCCTGGGGCTGGGGATGGTGAGGGGACAGCAAACACAGAAAAACTGATGCTTTTTTTTTCTTTTGCCATCGCTTGTGCTGTAGGTGGGGAAGGGACTTATTTTCCTCCCTGTTCCTTTCCAAAACATGGCTATGACAAGTGATGTGGTTTGGTGCTTTGAGGTGTTACATGGGTGGCACCAGAGCCTGCCCTCCCCAGGGGCCACCTCTCTGTTGGCACTGTCCCCCTGGCAGCTGATGGGTGGGAGGGAAGGAGCACAGCTCTGGGGGCCATGGGGGATTCCCTCATCGTGGCATCCATCAGCATGCCATGCCCAGGCACAGACCTACCCCGCCACCGTTTCATGCAAGGGACAGCCAAGCCCCTTTTTGGCCCTTTCCCTGTGCAGTGTTGCCCCTCCACCCACCCCAGCGGTGGCTTCCTCCCTGCTGCTGGCAAGACCCAGCTTTTGGCTAGCTAGGGAAACAGCCATGGGGGTGGGTAGGGGCACATGAGCTTTCCAGCTACACAAGCATAATTAGTGCACCACTAATAACTGCAGCAATGCCACAGCATTGTTTCAGCTTTGCTAACTAACTGCAGAGAGGCACGGCCCCTGGTTTAGTGAGGGGAGAGGTGGCTTCATGATGGCAACACCTCCCCAGGTGACTGGGTAAAGCTACATCTGGCAATGCCTGCAAACATCCCCCACCAAAAAATAGCCCCCCCATCCACCCCTTCTCTCCCCAGCAGACCGGCTCCAGCTGCCCAGTGCCGGAGGCAGGGAAACAGGGTGGCCATGGGGGACACACACCCCTGCCCCCCAAGCTCAGCTTGGCCATAACCAACGCAAGGCACTTGAAAGAAAGCAACGGATAGCAAGCTCAGGCTCTTGTTAGCTGGATATATTTCTCTTTTGTTGTTGTTGTTGTCATTGTGTGGTTTTTTTCACAGAACACTTTGCAGTAGAGGAAACCGTGGCGTCGCAGCCCGTGGGGCTGGCGCTGGCACCAGCACCTCACCCCGGCACACTCAGCCGGCAGCACGGAACCGGCCGGCAGCACGCTGATCCCGTCCCTCCTCTTGCCCATTGGGTTTCACTGCTTTTGTTCGTTGTGGTGTGGTTTTGTTTTTTTTTTTCCTTTCTACCTTTTTTATGGTTGGTTGATTTTTTGGATTCCCCCCCCCCTTCTTTTTTTTTTTTTTTTTAAAATTTTTTCAT